CCACGATTCACGGAGGATCCTTGCTTTTTTTTGTTAGCGCACCTGTCTTTCTCGGTTACGCAACAACCCGTTGTTCTGTTGTCTTTTTTTTTCCCTTCCACGTAAAAAGTTCGTCAAGCGTGGTTAGGATGTCCATTTGGAACAAGAGGGAGGTCATCCCCTTGTCCATCCATCCCCCGGGATGGTATTTGCCGATTACGTACGAGAGCCCACCCCATACTATAAAAACCAAGGTGGTAGCTCCGCTCTTATGGAGGAAGTGGCTCCATAAGCTACCATGCTCTAAAAGGGTATTACGTATATAGGACATGGCAAGTAACGTAACGAGATTGAAAAGAATAAAGCGGATAAAAACGGAGCTCCCCTCTCACTTTGTTCGAGCAACTACGCCCCTCTCCTTATCAGTCGAGTATCTTGAAACCTCTCGAAAACGAGTTTCTCAACCCCACATTCTATGCTTTTCCGCTCTTGGCTCAATCTGAATTGGTATGATTTTCAGTACAGGACGTAAGCATCATGCATGGGTGGGAGATGGAAAGGACGAAAGGTCGCTCTTTGGTCAACAAAACAAGCGAAGGTCTTGACCTGGAAGGATCGAAGAGAGCGCTAGTAGATCGAGCTGTAGGTGCATGGACTTGTGTAAAGGAAGAGAAAGAGAGCAACTCCTTTCACAGCTCGTCACTAATACCCCTTAGTTACTTCGCTTTCCTTCTACTAGCCCGAAGGGAAATAGAAGACTATAAAAGTGGAATATCATGAGTGTTCATAAAATGATTTTACTCATCACCCTCAATCCAGTATCTACTAATAAGCTAACTGGAAAGCTTCAAAGCGGTGAAGGAATCCAATTACAAACCTGAAAGGTCTTAGCTCCAAAACGCTTTCACCCCCGATCCGGGGCTAGCTTTGCTTGCTTCCCTCTTCCTCGGTAAATACCTTTATTAAGTATTAAGAGAAAAGGAATAAGAATCGGCTTTCTTTTTCGTAGAATAGGCTGCAAAAAAAGGGTCTTCCGGTCGAGCAAGCTTTTCTTTTAGAACCACCTCTTGAAAGGAAAAAGAGGAACGAAAGAATAGAGAAGGAAAGAGGATGGCAGTTGCTCCGGTGCTATCCCATTGGCAGCCGGTAGCCGAGTCCGAGTCTTCATTTTCACTTCTTTATGATGAGAGAGCGGACCCCGAATCCTGCTGTTCTTCCAGGGAACCCGTCTTTGATAGAGCACTTGCCCGAGAGATCTTTGCTTTTCGTTAAGCTCTTTTCCTTTCCGTTGCGTTTAGCTAGGCTAGGATCCTAATAATAATAACCTCTTGACTCGAATTCCTTCCTCTTCCCGAGCGGATCCCTATTGGTGGACTCAGCTTGGCCATTCCCTTGTGAGTAAAAAGGAGTGGATTTCTCATGGTCTGAACTCTAAATCTGATCGAACAAGCCGTAAGGGCTTTCTAGAGCGTTAGACTGCGTCTTCAGGTACGTCTATTGGTGATTCCTCATCAGATTCCCTAAACGTGAGATTTTCCGGGCCCTTAAAGATTCTCTGGGAAAGGGCTCCGTAACATCTATCTCAATAGAAGGAAGGACATTCGATTCTGCCTTCTCCCCATTCCCTCCCCACACCTCCACTAATACCTTACTGATTGTCCGTCCGTCCAATGCTACCGTCAAGAACAATGGCTTCAAATGTCGTGTACTTTCTTCGGCGAGCTTCTGGATGCTTCACCTGCTCTGGTTCATTCTTCTGCACGTCATCTACCTGATGAGCCCATAGCAATGAACCCATTTCGTCTATCATCACGTCTCCTTGTAAAAAAGAAGGCTGCATCTGTGGAGCTCCAATCATAGGTTCATCCTCCGGAATTGCAGCCGTGCGAAGCTCTTGGGAAGGCCGCTGTTCAGAAAAATGGTCACCTTTCGAGGATACACGCTTTGGTCTCCACTCCTGGCGTGCCCGTAGTCGATGGCGCACCTTCTTTCTTGCGGTAGGTCTGCCTCTGGGCATCCTGTCCCTCTAGCTGACCTTCCTGCTTCAGCCTTTCGGCTCTACGCCAACGCTGCCTTCTCCTCTTTTGGGACCTGGTAAGTGGTTTATATCGATTTCTG